CGGGCGCCTCGTGCCGGGCCCCGAGGCCGCGTCCCCCGCTCCCCCCGCTGGACTGGGGCCTCTGCGAGCACCGGTGGACGTCGCAGTCGGGGCTCGAGTCGTTTGGGCTGCCCCGAGGCGCGGGTCTTTGTTTGGCCGCGGCGACCCGCCCCGCTACCGAGGTCTCCATCCGAAGCAGAGGTGTTGAGAGTGCTTGGGGAACGCGTCAGTCCTTGTGTCTTCTCCATCAGCCCGAGGCCACCTTTGCCTCCAGTCGATCTCTTGAAAGCGTGTTTTGCTCTTAGGAATGATCACGGCTCAAGGTTTGTAACTTGCAGTTAACCTTAGCTTCTCTGTGATCTTTGAGGCCTGCCTACAAGATTCTGAGCGATTCCAGTTCAGAGTTCAGGCTGGGCTCAAGCTTAATCTTCCCGCCTCAGTTTCCTTCTTTTCTCGGCTGTGGCGCTGTCCCTGAGCTCTTTCGCTCAAGGCGAGTTCTCTACCACTTGAACCACAGCGCCACTTCTGGTTTTCGGGTGGTTCATTGGAGATGAGAGTCCCACGGACTTTCCTGCAGGGGCCGGCTGATCTCAGCTTTCTGAGTAGCTAGGATGACAGGCACCAGCCTCCCTTAGTTTCTTGGGGTGCTGGGCTTACAGGCCTGCACAGCTAGGTCTGGCTCAAAATTTCTTTTTGGTGTTTTGAAGCAAGATCCAGTTAGACTTCAGATACTACATTTAGTCGTGTTTCTTTCTAATGTGGAACAGTCTCCCGTCTTTTTTTTTTTTTTTTCTGTGACATTTAGGGTTTGTTGTTATCTTGGCCCATCCTGGGACTTGAACTCTGAGCCTGGGCGCCATCCCTGAACTCCTTTTTGCCCAAGGCTAGTGCTCTACCACTTGAGCTACAGAGCCACTTCTGGTTTTCTGGTGGTTTATTGGAGATAAAAATCTCATAGACTTTTCTGCCTGGGCTGGTGTTTGAACCATGATCCTCAGATCTCAGCCTCTGAGTAGCTAGGATTACAGGCATGAGCCACCGGTGCCCGGCTTGCATATATTTTTTAAAATAGCAAAAATGAGCTTTATTTTACTTACTTTTGAAATCTTTGTTTTTTGTACTTTTTTTTTGCCAGTCATGGTGCCTGAACTCTGGGTCTGGGCACTATCCCTCAGCTCTTCAGCTCAAAGCTAGTTCTCTACCATTTGAGCCACAGCACCACTTCCAGCTTTTTCTGCTTATGTGGTGCTGAGGAATGGAACCCAGAGCCTCATGCATGCAAGGCAAGCACTCTACCACTGAGCCAGCTTCCCAGCCCCTGTTTTTTGTACTTTAAAGTGTAGTATGATGCTTTGGGGGGTGGCTCATAGCGTCAGTTTTGTGCGTTGGGCTCTCCCCAATCCAACTTTCACACCATTTTGCAGTCCTGGCGGTGTCTTTGAACTGCTAGCTTTGGCGGGCAGCCGTCCTTTTACCGAACATTCTGCAAGTGTGGCCAAAGCTATGGGGCTCTTGTTTGTTCTCTCGCTCCAGAAGCCTTCCTGCTGTTGTGGCTGCTTGTGTAAGTTATGGCAGAAGGCCGCCCTTGGAGTCTGACCCTGTGACTGGTGAGCTGTGGAACTCTGACCAAGTCTTCTCTCTGAGAGGAAGTTCCCCAATTGTAAACTAAGCAGCTGGCGTTAAATGTTGAGAGAGTGGTATGGGAAATTAGCATGCATGTATTACTGTTGGGTGTGAATCTAAGCTGAAAGAACTTCTGTGAGAGGTTATGGAAACAGCCCACTGTTACCCAGATGTAACCGGGGTATTGGCAAACACCCAGTTCAGAAGAGCTTCTTGAAGACTCAGACTTGAGCTGCTCTAGTACTAATGGATGCCGTTCTGGGTTGCCTTTGAGAAGCTAACCTCTTCCTTTTGTCCTTACAGCTGTATTATCAAGTCCTGAATTTTGGGATGATTGTCTCCTCAGCATTGATGATCTGGAAGGGCTTAATGGTAATAACTGGAAGTGAGAGCCCCATTGTAGTAGTGCTCAGGTAATATGCTTTCTTTTCAAGGCTTGGAATTGCATGCCATTGCTTGGGAGAAAACTTGAGATTGTCCCTTAGAAACTGTTTTCCAGAGGAAAGCCAAGATGGAAAGTACCACTGCTCACTTGGGAGAAATAGTCATCTTATTGGGTGTTCCCACTGGGTTCCCCAAGCCCAGCCCCTGCCTGTGAGAAGCCAGCTGCGGAGCTTATTGGCTTGCACATCTGCTTTGTCTTTTCCGCACTTGAGTCTAGCATTTTGCTCGGTGTTTGATCCTTAGCTTGTGTAGACCAGCATGTGCTCAGGGTCAGTACTGAAGCACCTAGCTAATCACTGTCATACCTTGTCACCTTTAAAGGCCACTGCTGACTAGATTCGTGGCATTTTAGAGATGTGGTAGTGGTGGTGTGTGTGTGATTGGTTCCCTTACTGAGGCTTGAACTTGGAGCCTGGGTACTGTTCCTTATCTTTTTTCACTCAAGGCTGGCTCTCCTACCTCTTGCACCACATCTCCACTTGGCTTGTTAGTGGTTAATTAGAGATAAGAGCATCACAGACTTTCCTGCCCAGACTGGCTTTGAACTGTACTTCTCTGATCTCAGCCTCCTGAGTAACTAGGATTATAGGCGTGAGCCACCAGTACCCAGCTTACTTAATGTTACTCTTTTTTTCCAGTCCTGGGACTTGAACTCAGGGCCTGGACACTGTTCCTGAGCTTCTTTTGCTCAAGGCTAACACTCTTCCACTTGAGCCACAGCACCACTCCCAGCTTTTTCTGGGTATGCGGTACTGAGGAATTGAACCCACGGCTTTGTGCTTGCTAGGCAAGCACTACCACTAAGCCACATTCCCAGACCTTAATGTTACTCTTAACAAGATGAGTGTGACTTTCTCATTGTTATAATCACATATTTCCTACTCCATCAAGTGATTTCTTTTTCAGACCTTACCTAGACTTTTACTCATATTTGTACCTTAATCCTCTCTTTATTATTTTTTGGGGGGGGTCCGGTCATGGGGCCTGAACTCTGGGCCTGGGTGCTGTCCCTCAGCTCTTCAGCTCAAGGCTAGCCTAGCGCTCTACCACTTGAGCCACAGCACCACTTCCGGCATTTTTCTTTTTGCTTATGTGGTGCTGAGGAATCGAACCCAGGGCCTCATGCATGCAAGGCAAGCGCTCTACCACTGA